ACTTCTTAGGACCTCAAAACGAATAAATCTCAAAATCAAAGATTAAATTTCAAACGAACAAAAAGAGGCTTCAAGGTAAAACAAATGCACAAAAAGAAAAAAAAGTTTAAATGAGAAAAAAAGTTGAAAAATACAGATAGAAGTCGGATAAAATGAATGTAATCAAAGTCACCTCATTCGGCGACGTGGGACACATCGATGGGCTTGGTCGCATTCCGCAGTTATAAGGCGTAGAGTCCGAAGCAGAGAAATGCGATTGAGGTGCTTGTGGTAGGGCAGGCGTGGAATCTGCCGAAACTGGGAATTGAGGAAGTTCCATCGAGGGGAACCGTTGGCTCAATGTGGAGTCAGCAGTCGAGGTGGAGGGCATGGAAGAGCAAGCCATGGCGGGTGTAGCAGCATTTGCCGATGGATAAGATGCTGTTCGGAACGACGGCGTCGACTTGGAGGTAGGGAACTGCCCATTGGGCAAGCCAGCATTCGCGGGATAGGAAACGGAAGGATAAGCGTTGTTGGAATATCCTTGGGGAAATCCAGGTCCCACAGTTTTGATAGGTTGCTGCTGCATTCCAGGCATCTGCAAAGAAGAGTTTGACATCTACAGCAAGAAAACGATAAACACATAACATTATGACTTACCATCATTCCAGGGTAAAATCCAACTCCGCTGGGTGGATAGCCCATATTCGAGTATACGTCCGCATTCGGTTTAGACATATCAGGCATGCATCCACCTGAAAATCGAACAAACTTCAACGCTATGTTGTTTGCATTACACCCCTAATCCTAGGCAAACAAACCTTCCATCATTCGAAAACCTTGTCTCCATTCTTCGTGCCCATAATCGTTCACATCAAGATGACGTTTCCTGTTATCCTATAGCAATAATAATTATTAAAAGGAAGAAGAAAAGACAAAGATGGTAGACTGCAAAAAGAAGAGAACTTCAGAAAGCAAAAAAAGAAAAGCAAAATCAATTAACCCGATTTATAGGAGTGGATTGGTAAAGGGGTGGAGGCATAGTCGATGCCAGGTTGTTAGTGCTCAAAGCATCCTTATGTTTTCCCACGTTCTCGGAGCGTTTCTTCGCTTCTTCCTCCAACCACCTAAAAGACAACA